TCTTTCATGCATCAAGCCCATTAACATACATGGGCCTAAGTAAGCCAATACGCCTAAGTTGGAAACTACTCTATAGTGGTGGTTGATATAGAATCTGTGGGGATTTATTTGTCATACTTTAGTCTTTGTTGCCACATTTTGAATCTTTGATATATGGTGTATTTACTGAAATCGGAGATGCAAAGTACAGTAATTTTGGTTAACACAAGAGGGTTCTAAAGTGTTATGCAGAAGAAATTGGATTCTAGGTAAGAGTAGTAATAAAGAAGCCATGCACCAATTTTTTCAAGTTATACTATGTTTTCTAAGAGAAACATATATAGTTTCATATGCATAAAATCACATCCGGATCCCTTAGGAATATCTGAAAACTTGTGGGAAAGTTTGATTCTTAAGAGTGTTTTCCAATGAAAAGTGATTCCTCACTTGTAGTAAGAAACTAGGGCATTGTGTATAATAACTAAAGTTTAACTCGTTATCGGCTTTGATCAAGAAAATTTTGTAATTGAAGTTAATAGCTCAAAACAAACACTAAACTATAACATCTCATGTCCCTTAAACACATATCTTCTCTGACCACAACATACAAATACAATTCTTATTTAGCAAAAATAACAAATACAATTCACATAACTATTGCAAATTCCGAAATAAGTTTGGATTTCTATATGAAATCATAATTAGTTATTCTTTTAAAACAAATAACATCTGTTAGTGTCAAAATATTAATATATGAAGAGACAGATCAAAAGGGATAATATATGAGATATCTCACGTTCTGATCTCTCTAGCTAGCATAACTATATAACAAACCTATATACAAACACAAATACAAACACAACTTTGTAATATTATCATATATGCTACAAAAAAGACTAATGAAATCATATCAAGTTGGAATTTCTTTTACCATATTTAAATTGTTGAAAATAAGAATAAAATTTCGAAACAAAATAAAAATGTTTTGAAGTGTGGGGGTCCACATACTCCAGCTAACACAGAGATGTACCGGAAACAAGTTTGGAAACTCGGAACCACGTCAAACAAATACGGAGAGGGACCACAATCTATACGGCGTTAGATAAGGACACGTGTCAAGCATCCAACGGTTTAGTTGCACGCATGTGGGCCGAATCTAAAAGAGAACACAGAACTCGTGTGTTCGACTCTGAGTCTCTGACGCACACATTTGTACAAACCAAATCTCTCTTTTTGTTGTAGCCGTTAGATCTCTTTCATATATCGCTACTCTTAATCCGACGGCTATTATCCCTTGAATCTTGTAGTAATCGAATCATTCACCATTAATGAGTGCGTGTAAATTATTAGTGCTTAGCCAGGAATATAATTAGATTATGAGGCAATGTTAGATTGTGGAACAAAAACCTAGAGATTTATTTAAGGTTTAATGTTTGTTTATTAAGGATGATTGACACACGTATATGTAGATTAACATTTTATTGTTAAACGTATTTTAGTTAGCATATAAGCAAGGACCCT